CAAGAGAGAGAGAGAGAGAGAGAGAGAGAGAGAGCACACCTTTATCTATTTAATAAGTTGTAAAAAATAAAGTAAGAAATCATTCCAATGTGTAGAGGACAGTAAAAAAAAAAAGGGTCCCACAGACCCAAACAGCACGCAAAGGTTAAAGGTAGCATATCAATAATAATGTTAAAATGTGCTAAATATATACACTGCAAAAAAACAAAAAAGAGGAGTTAAAGTAGCTAACGACTTGTTTTGTTTTTTGAAAGTAGCTCTCATCCTAAAAAAGGTTGGAGACCCCTGTTCTAGAACGATACATTTGACAATTTTAAGCTTGGCCTACCATTTTATTGGAGCGATGAGGAACAGGTGGGGCTTGAAAAGGCCCACCTGTTCAAAGTGGGGAATGACAGAAAAAGTTTGAGAACCACTGCATTAAAGTGTTCTCAAAGCTGGTAAAGGTGCAACTAGTTTGAATAACTTTGTATACAGCAGGGTAGCTTGTCAATTTACTCCAGGTGTAACTAAAGTCTGATTTAAGACTTGATTATATTTCACATCATTAATCCAAAGTAAAGTAAAAAACTAAATGTAGTGGAGTAAAAGTACAATATTTACCTCTGAATTATAATAAGTAAAGTACAAGTATCTCAAAATTGTATTAAATACAGTACAGCTGTGTCTTGTCTCTTGATTGGTCAAGTATGTATTATGTTCTGGTATTTGTGGGTTCTTTTTACGATTTATGAGGGAAAGAGAGTTCTTGTCGTTTTTTGCACATGTCCAGTCGCCTTGAAAAAGGCTACTTTTGGTTTAAACATTTGTCTGTCTGCACTTGGGTCCATCCTTCGCTGCTCAACCTTAACTTAATATTTTCTCAATTTCTCTTGAATGACCAAAAAACATCAGTTCAGCACTGTGAAGCCGACCGTTGAGCGGCCCGACCAAGCAAGGAGGCAGAGGTAGAGAGTTCAAATATAACCCGGTGTGGGCATTTATTCCTCATGGACACATGATTCACAGCCTCAATATTGCTGTCCACATGAACACAGTCAGCAGCAACGAGGATCTCACACACACTACCAGGAAACACAGAGCCTAATTACCCACAGACTAATCAACCAACAAGACACAGGTGAGGGGGGAGGAGACAACACAGGGCACCAGGTGCACACAATCAACAACAATGAAGCTATACAACCCGTAACGGAGACCGAGATCACCTCCGTGACAAGCACCCTGAATCAATTCTCACAACGGGTCTGACTCAATCTTTGGATGGGAATGTGGTTTAAAGCACAAATAAAGAGAACTGATAAATGCAGAGGCGCATCCACGGCACTGCATTTTTTGAACCCGATAGAATAAGCAGCAGTGTTCTCATTCCATCGCAACGGAACAGCATTTTACAAAACTGCTTCTAATTCATCAGTCAACTGGCATCACAGAGGTTGAAATACATCAACTAAGTAAGGCTTGGACGATTTTATCTGTACATATTTAGGATTTGGTGTTTTCCCATACGTACATTTAGTTTTAACATTGTAGTTTGAGGAGTTAAAAATGTGAATATGAGACTTAAAAGATTGTTACTTTTCTAACAATCCTTTCTTTGCTGTTTTACAGACTGCTAAACCGAATCCACCATGTCCGTTCACTGGAAAGCGTACCCAATAAAGGGTCGGACGACTGTAAGATACCGTTCTCTTTCCCTGCTTTTAAAACACAAA